CCACTGCTGGGCTTTCACCCCTCCATCACCCCCAGAGCCCTCGGGGCTCTTTCCCCACCCCTTGAACTCCAGCCCTGGGGTGGTCTGTCCCTGCAGGACAGGACCCTTTGTGTCCCTTTTTTGCCCCCCCCCGTTGTTGTGTAGGGCTTAGTCAGTGTCCCCCTCGCCAATAAAATGTCTCCCCCCTCCTGCTCTAAATGACAGGGTTGGGGACTGGAAGGAGCAGCGAAACTTGCCTACAAGGCAGAGACAAAGGGGTCTCCTTGCCAGCTCCTCGCAGAGCCGCAGTTAACCTCTTCCCTGGTGGGACGCGGCTTCCTGACGCCGGGAACCGAGCGTGCACAGTCCCCTGTGCCAGGCAAGGAGAAGGGGAGTAAGGAGTTAGCTCAGAAATATTTCACTCTGAAGACTTCCAGCAGCCAGGGACCCCACACTCTCTCGCTGAGAAAAAGCACTGAAGAAGCTGTTTTGGGTTTTTTTCCGTGACATGGAAAAATATGGAGATGGGGGGTTGGCCTGAGGTCTGAGAGCGTGCTGAAAATCTCAACAGCTTCGGGCTTTAGGGAAAGGCTGGTTGTGAAAGGGCTGTGGCTCCTGCCTTCCTGCGAATTCCAGCCTCAGCAGGGTGAGCTCTCTGAAGCCCCAGCTCCCACTTTGCTTCCCAAAACCTGGGGAAAGAGCATCCCGGGGGGAGGCATTTTCTGGTGGGGGAAGGAAAGGGTTTAGGGGGAAGTTCTCCACTCGTGGAGGTAGTCGAAGGCTCTGCTCTTGATGAGGAAATGCCTTCCTCAGATTAGGGAAGATTTCAAACAGCCTTTTCCAGCTGAAGTGCTGGGGATAATCGCTTGGATGCTTCGCTCTTCTGCTGCTTTCTGTTAGAATTTGGCAAGAAAAAGCAGATCCCCATCTTGGCTAGGCCCATCCCGCTCATTCCCCTCCACCTCTGTTTCCCAGGAGGAAGAATGAGGCTCCTCCTCTACTGCCTTTGGCTGGCCGTGCTTCTGGGGCCCTGCCTGGCCTGTCCCAGCGCCTGCTCCTGCTCCACCAAGAAAAACGGGCGGCTGTTGGCTGAGTGTGCCTACAAGGATCTGCAGGAGGTGCCCGAGGGGTTGTCCTCCAACGTGACCATCCTCACCTTGTCGGCCAACAGGATCGGCTGGTTGGGACAGGGCTCCTTCGCTGAGGTTCCTGAAGTGCAGTCGCTGTGGCTGGGCTACAACCAGATCGGGGTGGTGGAGCCGGGGGCTTTTGCCTTGTTGGTGCACCTGAAGAATCTGGACCTGAGCCACAACAAGATAGCAGATTTCCCCTGGCAGGACCTGCGTAACCTCAGCAGTCTGCAGATCCTGAAGATGAACAACAACCGCCTGGCCGGGCTGCCCCGGGACGCTTTCCACTCCTTGAAGGACCTGCGCTCCCTTTGGCTCAACGACAACGAGTTAACCACCTTGGCTGAGGGCACCTTTGACAACCTGCCCTCCCTGTCCCAGCTGCAGATCTTCAACAACCCCTTCAATTGCTCCTGCAAGGTCTTCTGGCTGAAGAAGTGGACTGAGAACACTTCCGTCTCCATCACCAAGGGGGGGTCGACCCTGTGCATGGCCCCTGGCAGGCTGAAGGGCAGGGCGGTGATGGACATCCCCGACCACAACTGCATTGCCCCCTCTGTGCAGCTCACCTACCTCTCCAACCTGGACAACACCGTCATGTACGATGGCCTCACCCTGACCTTGCACTGCAGCGTGGCAGGCAGCCCTCCACCAGAGATCAGGTGGAAGATCAAGACCTCCAGCCACCGCGTTGAGATCAATGGGCCCAACATAGCACGGGATGGAAATGTCAAGCAGAGCCAAGAGCGCTTCTTGGTCTTCAAGAATGGGACCATGGCCATCCCCAACTTCAGCAAGGAGGATGAAGGCACCTACACCTGCCTCGCTGTCAATGATGTGGGCACACGGGATGTCTCGGTCAACGTGGCCTTGGCTGGGTCAGAGAATCCAGCTGAAGACCTGCTCCAAGACGACCCCCAAGCCAGCCACCTCGGGGGTCGGAGCTGCTACAAGGGGGATGAAGTGGATCCCTCTGGTGCCGGAGAAAAGCTGGTGATCATTTACCACATGCCGAGGGAGTCAAAGAGCAGGGCAGGAGGAACGGTGCCCCAGGTCCACCTGGGGACCCTCCTGCTGGCTTTGGGCGTTGCGCTCTGCTGTTAAAGGGGGGAGAGGGAAACGGTGCCTTGGGGGTTAACCCTCTTTCTGTAGCATTTATCTTCACGTAGTGCCATGCGTTTGCTGAGCTTCTGGGATCTCTGGGCGGTCAGGAGTCAAAGGGGGCCAAGACTCAGGCCCAGGGCTGGTAGTTCAAGCCCTCCATAGATGGGGGTCAGGGCTGGGCTCCGTTAATAGAGAGCTTCAAACAAGCTTGGGTGATGGCGAGCAGATCCACACCATGCTGCCACTTTCTAGGCATCCAGATCTGCCACCTCCCGACTTACCTCCCTCCCGAGACCAAAGTGCGGCTGCAGGATTAAAGTCCACCCACAACAGGGTGACCACCACCTAACCCCAGAGCCCACCACCATGAGCCCTCCTCCACCCGCAGCAGCGAGCTGTGACCAGGGAGGGGATCTCTCACAAAGAGAATCCCATCGGTCCAGTGGCACCAAAGATGACATCCCCGCCATGACCAGCACCTGGGCTCTTGACCAGGTGAATCCTTCCTACCACCAACCTCACGTGAAGCACCAGGAGCAGAAGCACCAGGCGGAGCATAGAGGAATAGCTTGGCCACAGGGTCCCAGGGTCCCAGGATGCATGGCTTTGAGGGACAGAGGTACAATGGTCCTTTGTAAGCAGGATGGGTATGGTAGGACACGCTGGATGGGGCCGTGGGCTTGGATCAAGGCATTTTTGTGGAGCAGGAGAAGGTTTTCCACAGGCTTCATCCCTGCAGGAGCACAAAGGGCTCCCACGGGCTGGGTGCTCGGAGCACCCAGGGTGCCTGCACCCTCCCTGCACCTTGCAGGATCAGGCCCTGCCCCTCTCAGTTCCTCTCCCAGACGTGATGCAGATGATTTCCACACCCCACCCCACCCCTGGCTTCCTTTTCACCGCTGAAGCCTGCGGCCCAAAACACTCGGCTGGGCTGGACCCACCGAGCTGCCCTGCTCTGGCTCCGACCCCAGCGGGGAGGGATTGAGCCCAAAGAGACCAAAATAATTTCCCAGCACTTCTCTCTGATGGGAAACCGAGCGGGGGCTGTATGACGGAGTGGGAGAAAGATTGGGAAAACCCGGACGACAGAGAGAGAAGCTGAGCTGACCTATAAGCCATAAACACACTCCTTAAGTGCTTTAGAATTCCCACGTGGGACATATACACTATACCGGCTGCCGCAGGGTGCTGGGGGACCCCTTGTCTTATGGTGGGGGGCTGAGCATCTCCATCTCCCCCACCCCGAAGCACGGGTGGTCCGGCTTTCGTACCTTCTGCTGGCGCTGGATGGACCCTTGCAACGACCCTCGCCTTGTAACCAAAGCTGTATGGACAGCAATAAACACTTTATTTTATTATTATTTTTAAAACAAGCTGGTGCATGCTGCCTCTGTGCGCCCCCACATTGCCCAGACCCAGCATTATCTGGGGTGCCACAGCTCACCACCAACCCTCTTTCCCCCCCCAGCTCCCCCAAATCCCTCCCTGTGCTGTAGCATCCCCCCCATGATGACCCTGGAGGGAGGATGCATTTGTAGGGCACCCAAAACTGCCCCCATCGCTGCCTGCAGTGGGCAGGGGAAGGCAGCGATGCCAAAACCAGCTGAAAAGCAGCTGTCCCAGAGCCTCAGGCCTCCACCCAAGCTCTCCAGCCCCACGATTCGTTGTCCAGCCAACTTGTAGGGTTAAGGAGAGGGGC